CTCTCTCAAAGATTGTATTTCTGTTTCACTGATTACAATAAACTGTCCCACCAGAAGTGTCATAAAACAGGCTTTTACCACCTCACCAACTCCCAATACACCTGTGTATGTCCAAATCAATCAACTCGTGAAATGAGTTATGAAAACTAGAACCCTTTTTATGGTGACTAAGAAAGGCAATCTGAATTTTTCCAGATTTCTGAGATCATGGCTGCTGCCATCCAAATATCCTTATCAAACAGAAGCAAAGAGTGCATTTCCCATTTCCTTCATTTGCCGGACCTCTAACAACTAAAACCTCTAACAACTGAAAAAAACAATGTTAAAACTGGACCATATGAAGCAGAAGTGTGAGCAGAACATGACAAACTTTTTTTTCCATCAGGATCCAACATGGTTAAGAATGCTATAAACTGAAAGGTTGTGGGGCTTTAATTTGATTAAATTCATTTAAAATTAAAACTTCACTATATTCCTGAACCCACATAATAAAACAGACTGCATGTATTCTTTTAAGTATCTAAATTAAAAAGGATCCTGCCAGATCCACTCTACTGCAAGTGACTGAAGAGAACCACAGGAGGTAACTAACATACAAGGTAATTAACAATCCAAATTATGATATTCTTACACAGAAAAAAAAATTGAGTATTTTCTAATGATGTATGTATTTTAATTTAAATACAGTCAATTTTACACTTCCCATTAATAGACACTTTCTTTGTCAGGACTATTAATTCTTAGTGATATCAGTTCCAGGGGGAAAATTCCAAATGATCCAGCAAATGCAGACATGGCATCCATTACAATTAAACAGACACAACTTGTTTTCTTATCACAATGACAGCATGTGATAATGAACTTTCTGTTCAGAATTCTAAGACCCGGAAAGGGAAAGAAATATATACGCCCAAATACTAATTACTCAGATGCTTAATACTCAACCTCTTCAAAAATCTGGACATCAGCCAAAAAGCATCATAAATGGTTTGACTTTGTACTAGAACACTATTTATCGGCATTCTTAATTTCTGTCTGTGCAGACAGACTGCGCTTCGTTCTTCGCAATGAAACAGCTAAATATAACAGCAGTGCTAATTAGATCATACAGAAGCGTTTGAGAATTTTGATTGTAACCTAGAAGTCTTTATTAAATTCAGCTAAGAAACGTCAACCACACCTGCTACGGCCGCCGCAGAACTAAAGGTGGTCGTGTTCACAAGGGATGATGAGGAACCTCAAGAGGTTAGTTATTAGTGGCTGCACACATGACTTCTGAGATGTGATCCTTCAGCAGTGCAGGCGACGAACTTGTCAATATAGACCTGCTTCTGCCTAAGCTAATATTCAATGGCTTATCTATACAATGAAGAAGTAGTTACTTGTCTTGAAATGAGGATATGAGGTCTTGACCAACCGCACCGTTTAGGGAAACAAAGCGTTGCCGGCAGTAGGTGGAAGGACGGATGCAGAGTTCCTCTGTATGGGATCTGCCTGCGAGGGTACAGTTACACCACGGGGCACTTCATCCTCTGTCTTTGTCTCTCCCCTTTCCCCTCCCCGCCCCCAAACCTCATTCTAAAACTTTTCATCCTTTTTCAAGCAGAAATATATTCCATTTTGACAAACTCACTGTCATTACTTATGAAGAAGGCGGCATTTCTCATTGAGAAATGACTTTAAAAAATGGACCAATTAAGAAAAAAGTTTCAGCTTAAATATCAAGAACAAAAGCAGCGCAAAAGCAAGCTCTCTCCTTTTTCTCATATTGGGTGTTGCTGTTCTACGCTACTAAAAACCAACAGAAACATCAGGGACAATAATTCATCCCACTGAAATAAATCAAAAACCAGTGACCTCACAGGGAATAAAAAGTTTTACCTCAAATATACATGCGTGAAGCTAATACCCAAAAACTCATCTCTACTTACATAAATAAAATCACAATACTTCCATGTAAAAACTGTAACTAAAATACCACCTGCGACTGATCTCAGATTTTTCTGTTTATGCACACAGATTTGAAGGTTGTTCATTCCACTTGGCAATAGCAGTAATTACCAGTGGAAGTTTAGAAGTTCAGTCAATATAGCAAAAAGAAATTGAATACTTTTCAGAAACTTTAGTAAATTATTCTGGTTTGGTTCTCATTTTACAAGCTCAGTAACGTTAAGGTTGTTACAAAATGCAAAATGAAAATGGAGAACAAATTGTGAATCTATTTAAATTAAGTTATAATTATTTTTTCATTTTCTAGGATAATTTTAAGACTTCATTATATTATTTGATGATATATATCCAATAATAGATAAAGCAAGCCTTTAATGTAATTAAAGTTTTACTTAAGTAAACTTGTTTAAAAAAAGAATTATTTAAAAGTCATACATTTACATTGTTTGAATTTCAGTGAGTGGAACAGATAGAATTCCTGATGTTAAAACTGTTTGGGCATAATAAAAGCTAAAAATATGTCCTTGCTGAATGGTGAAATGAGATTTCCACAGACCACGTATGCCTTGTTTCCCACAATCAAACTGTCACAGCATGAAAACATTCTCCTGCGTGTGTAGGTTCTGATACCCATTTCCCTGGTGAAAGTGGGCAAAAAGGATGTGAAAGAGTTATTGACAATTCATACAGTATCCCATATTTCATTAGACAGTACAAGCAGGGAACATCTCTTAACTCTGAAGGGAGATGAAGCAACAATGTTTTAAATGACTATTGACTCCTCTAAATTTCCTGATAATGTCAGAAGACTGTAGTCTGTCAGGTGCATAAGAGACTCAAGATGATACAGGAATCCAATTATGCGAAGTCTATTTAGTTGTCCTGTTTGCTAAGCCAAAGGTTAACGAGAACTGCACTGAAAAAACCTCCTGTGGTATTACAAAGTATTTCTTATGCTGCATAACATGTAAATGAAAAAGTATTTTAATCAAGTCTTTCTTTAACTCTTTAATTGCAACGGAACACTAGACAATACAGCAAGTGAAAAACTCACGATGGAAAAAGTGTTTTTAAAAATTCACCACTAAAGACATCACGACTAATTACTAAAGTAATTATTACTGAATATTTCTGATTTGCAAAGGAAAAAATGCTCAGAACCCAGAACCATAGATAGTCATTGCTAACATTAAATCTTTATAAATAGTAAGCTGTGGTCTCTAATTTTAGACAGAAATTAATTATATTTTTGTTGGTAACACATTCAAATCTGTTTACACAGCTGACAAGTCTCAGCTGCACCAGACTCGAGCAGTGAGATTTGAGGACTCTCCATCTTTGGAGCAGATGACTCAACATTCACCAATTTCATTAAAGATGAAAAGGGGAAAAAATTCACCTGCAACAATGTCACTTGTAAAAACAGACTTAAAACAGATTTATGAGTTTTACATTTGTGAGGTATCCTATTCAAAAGAAAGGGGGGGGTGGGAGCGGGGGAGCAGGGAACCTACGGGAAAACCTAACAGCTGTGGGAAAACGGATTAGAAGTGTTGAGTTTCCAATTCTTTTTTGGGCTAATGTAAACTAATAAAATGTTAAAATGGATCCACATTTCAAAGACTGTAATTACCACATGACACCATGCTGTTATTTCAGATCTTACATCTATCGCCTCAGATACGCTCTTGAATACATGGACGTAGATTTACCCACCTCTCTCGAACTTAACTACTGTTTCTGCAAACACTACCAGACATATTTTACAAGTATATTAGAAATTAAGACAGTCTTTGCTTTTTTTTTTTTTTTGATTGGCATAAATCCTTTACCCAGCACAAAAAACCAGCAGTCTTATCACACAAACAGCAATTCTCCCTTTACAAGAAAACAGTAGAAATGGACAGGAAAGTAATGCATTGAAGATACTGCTAATATGTAGAGAAAGCAGATGGCAATTCTGTTTTCCCTTTGTAGAATACTCAAGTTCAACCCCTAGTTTAAATTAATAATTTTATAAAAATAGAAATATTAATTTTTTCTAAATTTTTCTCAGGTAACAAAATCTACATACAACAGAGCTACATAATTATTTCAGCTTTTTTTTACTATTATTTTTATTTTTACATAAAGGCAGGCCTCACTAGCTGGCATTGGAAACATAATACAAGAATAAAATTATCTGAGCAAAACTGAAAGACATGCTGTAAAACACAGTGGAGGGACAACCATGCAAGGAATCAAGTCTAATATCTACGGGAATTCTGCAGTTAAGTCCCACAATTTCATGAATTTGTAGAAAATTCACAATCAGATCTGATTCTGTTACCAAGGTTATACATGGATTTCAGCTAAGATTTCCTTACATTTCTGAATAATGGTAAGTCTAAAACCTGCAAAATACATTTGAAAATGGAATAGATATTGTACTGTATACATATTATTTACTATTTCAAAATGTAATCTTGCAAACAACCATACATTTCTACTGGCCCAGCAAGAATCAAGGTAGGTCCTTTCAAAACAAGTGAATGTCTCCACTGATTTCAAGAGGAACACCTCCTGCTTAAAGCCCAGCTCAGGCTTAAGAACACCAGTGGATGGGCATAACTGAGGAAAACATAGTTAGAGTAAGTTTAAAAAAATTAGACTCTTTCCTGAAGTTCAATCACTACAATAGACCTCCTCAACTTCCAAAATGTTGCGCAGCTTCACTCTTATTAATCTAAAACATGCACTGAATTTGATACACACAAATAATTTCCATGGAAATGTGCTTTAGTAAGCCAATACATTGGTATTTGTATCTTTCAAGATAAAGCTCTAAATTATGTGTTGTGATTATGAATTATTATGTTATCATAAGTTATTGCATATGGGATAATAAAAGCTATTGGGTGATTCTGATCAAAAAATCCAAGTGATTATGAATTATTATGTTATCATAAGTTACTGCATATGGGACAATAAAAGCTATTGGGTGATCAAAAAATCCAAATAAAATCAGCTATTTGTAGGAAGAAATTAAATTGAGAACCAATGCTACTTACCGAGTCGTCTGTGGCAGAAGGAGGCCAGCCTTCCCATAACTGGTGTCGGACAGGGATACTAGTTAGGTCATACACATTCCGCTTTACCTGGTAAAAAGATTAAAAAATATTAAAAAAACCAGAATTTGTACTAACAAAAGACTATGGAAAAATTCCATTACTTTCATCATAATCCACAGCTTTTTAATTTAATTTTTTTCCAACTATTGTAAAACAGGGTTCTCCAACACTCAAAGATCTAGATCTGTTCTACAGGTTTACCTACAGTACTGCTGAATTTCAGTGCTGCCAAAAGCAATTAAACAAACTGTGTTAAAGAAAAAAAATATTGTAATATATCATTCATAACAATTCATTACCACTGAAGTATCATAAATGTGTAAAACAATTCATGATGCAAATTTTCACAGTAAAAAGTTATTACAAAGTAATGAACAAATTGAGGGGACGCAGAAGGTAATAACAGAAGTTCTGTTACAGGTTTTGCTAGTTAATGTATTCTGTTTCACCTGAAAATTTTAGATTCATGCTACATCTAATGTAATAAGAAATACAACTAGGTTTGTTGTTATTAAATGGGATCCATAAATAAAAGTGAGTATATTAAATGTGAAAATAGGAATTAATAAGCACATTTCCAATGAAGACCACACATTTATTAACTTTATTAACAAAATGCAAATGAACTAATTTTTACATCAACTCTTTTCTCATGTTCTTAAAACACAAGTTGCTACCATTAATCATCTTACATGACAATTGTAAGGAGAAAGGAAGAAAGAGTTGAGAATTTCAAATACAGGAAGAATGCTGCAAAAAACAAGAGTTACAAAACTCCACAAAATCATTAATGCAAATAAAAAAGCTGGCATGTTTTATCACAGATTTTGCAACAAGATGTATTTTTGCACTTGGGACAGAGAGCGTTATCTCAAATTCTGAGTAATATCTTATACCCGAATGTAAAGGTTGCACAAACAATGAGCACGTGAACTATAAAATGTTTCCAGCAAGCAATATTGGGTTTTGGTTTGTCTTCCATAGAACTGCTACATGGGAAAGCAAGGTCCTATCTTCATAGGTCTATTGTAGTTTCCAAATACAGATCTCAACAACCCAGAAAAACAGTCTCAAATAGATAAAAGTAAGGTTTGATACATTTTACTAATATTCTATATGTCCATTTGCGAGGCAGGACATCTGAGGAAGTCAGAAGTTCTGCGTCCTGTTCCACCTCTAAAAGGGCTCTATAGTTTAATGCTAAGACACAATAACCAAGTGTTTGACACATTAAACCAAAAAATATTACAGCAGATGACTAAGATTTTACTTAAAGCAAACCCTAAGATTACTCCAAAACCTGTCCTCTGATGCCTTCTTTAGCTTTGCATTTGTTTACTTGACAACTGGAAAGAACCAACAATTAACTGTATTCTACCTTCTGCTGGGAGTATTATTAAAGATTCTGTGACCTGAAAAAACTGTATATAGGTGCCAGCAGAAAAGATCATTGAGCTAGCACCTGGACTGGAGCCTAGCACACTTACCCCAAGCTGACAACTTTCTCTGAACAGAAAAATGGTTAAAAAAAAATTAGGAAGAAAGTTTAAATTTGTCAAAATGAAAAATACTAATATTATATATTTAAAGGTTTCTATATTCAAGAAATTAATGAAAGATTATTCTAAACTACAGTTCTCAGGGGTATAATGCAATAAAACAAAGCAATCCACTATATGGACATGTTACACAGTTTGACCCTGTCCTGCTAATCAGTACTTGCTGTAGCTTCACCACTGAAGCACTGCTGAGTTCTGAATACATGGTAAGGTAGTATGGTAACATAAACATATGGAATGTGCATATGTTCCCTCAAAATTTGGCATTTATTTTTAGTACAGAATGTATATGAAACACCTGGCAGTAGATCTTCATCTAAAAATGTGTTTGCATAATGAAATAGCACCAAAACTCTTTTTCTGAGCATCATCTGAGAAAAATGCTGCGTAGATCCTTTCTTTCAAATTTTGCACATAGTTCAAGCACATTAATAGACAGATGAAGGATACATGTGCACACATTAGATGGTGAAAGAAGTGTTCTAAGTGAATATCCTAAGGTGGGTGAAGGAAGAGGCGGGGATTTCCACATATACATTTGGTCACAAATGTTGATTCGGGCAACATTCTTCAAAAGTCTCCTTAGGGCACTGCTGCATGAGTTTGCCAACACATAAATATGACTGTGAAAATTCAGGACACAGAGAGGGCAAACAAAGTATGGAGCTCTTACTGTATTTCCAGGTCTTGGATCCTCCAATTCAATTACTGTTGCTTATTCTCACTACTTTTAGCAGTCGTAGTAGCATCATTATTTCATATCAATAAAGTATCCCTTAGTAAAAACAGTGAAGAACTGCTTCACGTTTCTGGACAAATTCAATATATTGGCATGGGAATCCAAATTACTAGTGTTAACTAAGCTATGCAGACAATAATTTAAATACTATCAGTTTAAAGCTTTCTAAATGTAAATATTCTGCACAGATGAGTGGAAAACAATGGCTTCAATTTATTATCCAACAGCGAGATACATTACTTCCGACTCTTGAGTCTACATCTCTCTACAGGATGAAAGTCAGACCGTTTGGCCGCCTGATCTGAACATTTCAGTATCATAACACGTATCTGGGTTGGATTTTCAGCTCAGCTTTACATTCATTGTATGTTTTAGAATCACTAAGATAACTCTCCTTTTTTTGCTGAACTGATAAATTGCATGTATACCCAATAACCCTTAATGTTCAGAAGTTTCTGCAGGGAGACTGTTCTGATAACTATGTTTCAATTGAAAGATTTTACAACTATATTTTAATTAAAAAAACTAAAACAGGAACATTAATTTATTTTAGATGCAGAATACTGATGTATTTATTAGTAACTGAACTGCACATCTTATTAATGCTTCCTCATATTTAAGCATGTTGTCATTCTTTAAAAAATACGAATATACCTGAATTATAAAAAACTCATTTAAATACGTTTCAAATTCACATAGATATGGTATGTTCTTTTATATATATGTATATGCATATGTATACACACACGCACCTGTGAAAATAGAATTATGGAAGCCTGAACTCTATAGAACTTGGTATATGATCTCATTCCTCCAGTTCAAAACAAACAGCCTTTCTTCACTGCTTCTTAACAAGGAGGCAGCCTGCTGTGCAGTATTCGTTTCGCAGGAGTATCAAGGTAAAGAGATGTCATTACTCTGTACTGACCCCACAACAGCCCATCAAAATGTAACAATGCTGATCTGTGATCACAAGAATAGGGGATTTTGCTATTTTAGTTTTCTTGCATTAAATACTGAGATAAACTGTCCCTGTGAGATAGCTATTCCCCCAATTACACATCAAAGCAGTCTCATTAATATTATTCTCAGAATATAAAACTCTAAACCGAGCTCTTTCCAAATAACAAGTGAAACTTATTTATAGAAACGTGGGATCAATACAACTACATAATATTGTTTTCAAAAAGCCTCCAGAAGTAAAAATAAAGAACTCAGAAGTCACATTCCTCAAATTCCCTTTTAATTCCAAAGTACAACAGAAAGGCATTATGAAAAAAACAGTATTTCCCTTCTTTCATTAACTCATCTGTAACTGCACTGAATTCAATAACATTCCTCTGCTATTCTAAGCTTGAAAGGCATGCTCGGGGTAAAGTGTTATGTTGGTATAAAGCACAATGCCAGACTGATGTGCTGGACAAAAGTGATCAAAGTTGAAGTAATTTTAGCCAACGCACAAGTATTCTGCTGCATTATTCTACCAGAATGACATCTGTTGAGCAACTCGTCGCAGAATAAACTAGTTGTTATAGACAGGCCTGGGCGGGTAGGGGACCACGTAAGACTTATTAGAGTAATGTTTGATTAAACAAACTGCTTGAGTTAAGATCATAACTGGATTTGAAATTCACGCCAAAGTAGTCCTCTTTCCAAACAACAAGCCACAATCAATTATTTAAGATAAAATAAGCTTGCTTTTAAATAACTATTTAACTTTAGGTTTGTTTGACAATTAGAATAGTACTAAGAAAGCAGACTGCAAAAGTTTTGGAGACCAGGAATATCCAACCAAGTACGGAAACCCCCTTTTACTTCATTAACTGACAATTTCAGTTTGAAGTTAAAAATTCTGCAAGGAGGGACAAATTCTAAAGATTTGTGTAAAGCAGAACCACAAACTGATTCTTCACTAGGCCACTGAAATAAAACCCTACGGCTACGCTCTTCATGCAACTGAAAAAATTAGCCCAGTAAATGGATAAAATCTGGTTTAAGGCTTTTATTCAGAAATTCACATGACATTGATAGGAGGACTGAAATCTTTATAAATTTGTGCAAAGCAAATTCTAACTTCTCGTGCCATCCGCTGAGCTACGTTTATTGGCAAACTTTTAGGTCCCCCACCTTTGATCAGTTTGAAATACTAATTGGTGGCATTGTCTTTCTGCAGCCCAGAATTTCTTTTCATAATGTTCAGATGCCGTGGGGACTGGCACATTACTATGGCAGCCGCCCTTCAGATTATGATCTCCAGAATATACGAACTCGTTTAAAACCAAATTAAAAACAGGTCTATTTGATTCCACAACTCAGCTGTGAACAGTATCGATACAGGCATTTGAACTAAAAGAAAACCCCCATATGTATCAGGTGCAGTTGTACTTAGAAAATTACATATAATTCCTGGAGAATGCCCTGCCTTGCAGCTATACACTGGTGCTGGAGAAGCACATGAAGTTTTACCTTCAGCTCATTTTCATTGCTGTTAGAAGGGAGTTGAAATGTTAAACAACTTTTAACATTTTAAGAAAACCCACATGTCAAAGTAGCCATCACACTGAGAAAACTTCCCAGACGTGGGCAGAGTCTTAGTTTATTATCTTTCACTGTTTTTTTAAGCAGATGAGTATGTTGCTTTAATAGGAAAGTTAAACACAAAAGATACACTTTTTTGGTAGATATGAAGTTAATCCAACATTCAAAGCCCTTTCACATCCATATCAGTA